CGCATCCATCCTAATAAACCGACGATTGGATTTTGTGCCTCGAAACAGCCAAGTGCGCAACGTGAGCGTGCACAACGGCGTCTGTCTCGGAGCCACGAGGGAGACGGCAGTTGAAGGGGGGCGTGGAATCCTTGGAGGCTGGAGGCTGGGGGCCAATGTTCGCGACAGGGGTCCACGGGTATCCATCAGGCCACGAACGGGTGCTGGCGCTTTTGTTTTGGCGGGGTAGCTAAGCTAACCTAGCTTAAGCTTTTGGGCACCTTCTTGGCAACGTTGCATCCCCTGCCGAGAACTCGGAGGAATTTCAGAGTGCACTTGTCGAGTAGGGCATCTCAGTCTCCCCAGTACATGTACCTATGATCACTTGCATCAACAGGAAAACAACAAGCGCGAGATGGTTCAACTTTGACGATCGGAATTCATTGTAGCCCTTTTAGGCCGCGCAAGCTGCCGTGAAGTCGTTCCAAGATAAGCAGCAGGCCCCCCCCCGGCAAGAGCTTTTGCTGACGCGTCTTGGCAGGAAAGAGGCAGGAAAGATGGTACCTATCAGCGTGTTCCAGCAAAAGACAGGAACCAATCCGCCAGCTCCAGGAGAAAAATGGCCTTCGCCAAGACAACGACGTCTTTCTTCAGCTTGTCGTTGTCGTCGTCGGCGTCATTGTTCTGCGTGGCGCCTTGGTTGACTCTGGTCTTCCAGCTGCCGCAGGGCTGAAACGGGAGCCTAAGACAATAGACCCAGAGCCAAATGGCTTTGCTGCGATCGACGCAGCGCCAGCGTGTTGCGCGCATCTTCCTCCTCCTCGCTACGCTCACACTGTTCTCGCTTACATACACCCGCATTGCAACAGCTCTTCTGGACGACGACCGCCCGTACTTCGCCCCCCGCCCATCGTCGACACCGCCCTCGAGCCCCAGACCACCCGCGACCGACGACCGCCAACAACACACACTCGCCCAGCCTACAAACCCGCACCAACATGGCTGCCACCCCCCATAACCGACCCATTCCCCCTCCTCGCAACCTCCTCCGCAGACACAAAACCACCGCCCATCCCCAAACATAACAGCCCCCGCCCCAACCTCCACAAACAATACGGCCTCGCCCAGCCGCCCCCGCTCTTCATCGGCTTCACCCGCCAATGGCCCATCCTCCTGCAGGCCGTCGTCTCCTACATCACCGCCGGCTGGCCGCCCTCCTCCATCGTCATTGTCGAGAACACGGGCGTCCACGACTCCAACCGCGACGGCCTTCTCTCCCTCCAGAACGCCTTCTACCTCAACCACACCACCCTCGGCCGCCTCGGCGTGCGCATCATCCAGAACCCCCGTGCTGCTCACCTTCTCCCAGCTCCAAAACTTCTTCCTCTCCACCGCCCACCAGCAATCCCTCCCCTACTACCTCTACTCCCACCAAGACGTGCTCGTCTTCTCCCCCGAGTCCGGCGGCGCGGCGAGCGCTGGGCGCTGCGCTGGTTCCAGTACGACCACCTGACGCTCGTGAACAGGGCCGCGCTGGATGCGGTTGGCGGCTGGGACTCGCTGCTTCCGTACTATAACTCGGACTGCGACTTGAACGCGCGGCTGGCGATGGACGGCTGGACGACGCGGCATCGCCGCGTGGGGATCATCAATGATGTTGGGAGCGTCATGGCGGATCTGGCGGCGCTGTACCGCGTGATGCCGGGGGTGAGGGTGGGGTTTGGGGATCCGAATCCGGGGGAGGTGGAGGTGGAGGTGGAGGAAGATGAAGGGTTCTTCAGTACGCCGCGTATCACGCCGAAGAAGACAGACCCACGGGAGTACTTTGAGCTTCTTAGCCAAGTCGGCATCGAGATGGGGCTGCACAAGTACCGCGGCAAGGGTAAGATGCGCAACGAGTGGCAAAAGAGCCAGCGCGGCGGCCAGGGCGAGCCGTACTACTACGATCCCGCGGGGTTTGCGAGGGCGTATCAGGTGCTGACGAAGGCGGGGAGGGATTTGTATGCGGAGAAGTGGGGACATGAGGGTTGTGATTTGGTCGAGGCCACGGGGCTGAGGATAGAAGACCAGTGGCGGGTCAAGGCCGATTGGGTGAAATAGTTTAGATATTTTGTGACGCCTGTGTATATACTATCAGATTGGGTGTCCTGGATTGAATCGTCTGGGTATAGTGCTCATAGAGTTTGTTAGAAACAGGCCCTCTCGGGCGGATTCCCGACGTCAGCGGTCCAGAGATGTACGGGTAGCCAGCAGTTAGCAGTGTTGTGAACCTGTTTAATCTTGGGGAACAAACTCGGGAACAAAGATTCCACGTTATATTCAGGTTTGTTATAGATTCTAAGTGTTCTGTGTAAGTCGGCATCATCGGGTCTGGACAGACAACTAACATCAGCGCCTCAACACTTCGACTGTTTACATTGGTAGCTGTCATAGCTGACATGCACTGCTGCGATTTCAGTCATCTGGCTGTAAAGCGGTTCACCAGCAAAGTTCGGGGAGCATGATCGAGGATGGTTATGATGACTGATTGGCAAAAGTCCTTTTGTTACTGTACGACATGCTTGGCTCCCATTAAATAGTTCACTTCTGACTTGTGTTACTCTCACCGCATGGTTGATGTCACTCTGAGTGGGGAGTGGGTGTCTTGGCTTGATGACAAACTCCATAATAGCTTTGTTTCCAAGTCTTCCCCAGACCATAAGGCAGTCCATAACCACGGTACGGATACTGTGGATTGGAAGGATTTCCATCTCAGCACTGGTGTTAGCAAGAGGTTCCAGATTTCTAGTCATGATGCTCAGTCCGTTTTTCTTCGCGAAGCGGCGCTGGGCGGTGGCGGCCCCGTTTGCACCGCTCCGTAACACTTCTTAGTTCCGGAGACAAGGGCCGAGGTTGGCGACGGCAGATGCTCTCAGTCGCAGGAGTCAAAACAACAGATTAATATCTGGACTCGATCCGTGAGAGCAACGCACCAGACTAAGTATCAAATAGTCTTATTGGTGCAGTTCTTGTTGGTTTATGAGATATCCGTAGGGCTAACAGGGTGTTCATGCAGGTTTGGCAGCCTCAACGAGAACGAAGACCAACTGCGCACAGAGGTTAATGTAGTGTAGGGCTAGTCTGAGAGTAAATCCATGCTAAGCAGCCATGTGCAGGCTGTATTACCGACTGCCGCCCAGACCTCGCCAGCCTTCAACAGGCTCGTTTACGTAGATGCAGACAACGATGTTGTTCAACTACACCCGGGCCAAGAATCAGAGCCCCAAGGCCAGGCCATGATTGTTGACCGGGATAGGCACTGACGGCCGAGTGTGTCAGCATCTAGCTCCTACAAATCAGTCTTCCACTAGAACTAGACTGCAGCAGGAAGAAGGTGGGAACGGAACGAGAGAAGTATGTTGACAACTGGTATAAATAGGCAAAATGTCTTCACGCTCATGCAGCTGGAAGTTCTTCATCACTCACCTCACCATCACAAACTCTCCACCCAGAACCATCACCCCCATCCAAGTCGAACCCATCCAAAATACAAATCCATCCATTTAGTCACCATGCAACTCACAAACACCCTCACCCCCATCCCATGGCAGGCATCTCCGCCACAGCCGCCCAATGCGCCCCCATGACCGCTAACCCATCCCTCACTGACTCCATCACAAAGTTTAGACAGTCCGAAGGCAAGGTCGGGTCCAAGGGGGAGATGCAGTGCGGTGGTGGCAACTGGATGTACTGGTGTCTGTACCACACATAGATGGTTCGAGATGTTGAAGGGAGGTTTGGTCTGCGTAATGGGCGGAGACAAATTGGTTATGATTAGGATAAACACTTATTATGCCATTGTTTGTGGTTATTGCTTTGCCTTGGGTTACAAAAAGCAAAGAGCTACCTGGTTTCGATTGCATGGCAGGTTCTCCACCACCTCTTCGTGAATCGTGCATACCCATCCAGACACGTCATTTCTATATACGTTTGTTGGCGATGAATGCCAAAGACCTTCTTCCTAGGGCTCTATAAGTATGGTAAGACGACTTTGCCTTTCTTTCACCAAAGTCTGACGAAAGAAACCTGCCTTTGAAACAGCACATTCTATCACTAACGCCAGTCTTCAAACACTTAACACTTCATCAGTGGGAGATGAATTGTTGGGTCGGGGTAAGTATGCCGCCTATACGTACTTTCTGGGCGGCGATGATGTTGATACAATCGCAAGGTTTAATCTGAACCCCAGGGAAGTCCTTTCGAATGAGCGATGCGATATCTAAAAAAAGTATTTTTTGGCTGCTTTAAATAGGAAAGAATACGGGCAACAACATCTTCTGTACGAGCGAGTCGACGATGAACAGGAAAGAAAGGAGCGAAGCTATTGATGACAGGATGGCAGTGATCTTCGTGCATTATAGCGAACTTCCACGCATTGATCGGCTCGACGAAAAACACGGCTTTTGCCTTCCAAAGGCACTCTTTTTTCGTCGTCTTTGAAAGAGCTCTTTTTCCTGTCGCAACTGACTTGTTTCTTTTGCTTCGCTTCAAAGCATTCGAGATCAACACGGCGAGGAATACCGTCAGGGCCACGGTTACTGGTGCGGCGCTTGGTGACAGCAAAACCGAGAGCCTCAGCGACTTTGTTGACATCATAATAAAGGGCATCGAAAATAGGCCAGTCGGTGCGTTCAAGGGCTCGCATTTGCTCGGCACCTGCGTCGGCGCCTGCGTCGGCATTTGCAGGTGCAGCAGTCTCGTCAGTAGCCTCGCGGTGCGAGCGGTGTTGGCGATAACTTCAAAAATAGGTGGGGGAAAAAGTCTTGGCTATTTGGTAAGATGGTAATTTTTCGTTTGATTGCGCTGCAAATTTTGGTGTGGCTTGAAACTGGGGGCGCTAGGAACTAATTAGGACTAGAGACCGTCATACTATCGAGGCACACCGTCATTTTAGCCAGGTCGGCCGCTGACAGCAACCACCAGAAATATATCAACGATCACATTTACACCTTGGAACAAAAAAGCTAGATTTCAGCATCAAATTCCATGTGGTGTAGAGAATTAGCATTCCGGTCATGGACTCTCATTTGTGAGAGTCCCCGGCGACCCGGGTTCGATCCCCGGCATGGAAAAAGTAGTTTATCCATTTTTTAAGAATGTGAGTACTGACCGATGGGGCCTTATATGCCTGTTATGATCCCATCCTCGTAAGAAGATAAAAAAAAACTCCATGTGGTGTAGTGGTTTATCATAAACACGAGCATTTAGCCCCTGAAGCTCTGTCTTGATTTAAGAGATCTCGCTTAGCCCAGAAGTGGAAGTGCGCCGACTGTTGACCCGGGTTCGATCCCCGGCATGGAGAAGTTTTTTTTTTTTTTTTTTTTTTTTTTAAAAAAAAAAAAGAAGATTTCGACTTGTGTTCCTTTTATCGTTTTAATCTAATCTTAACGTTCCCATCATCAGGTTTAATATTTTCTCGTTAAATACCTTTGGTAAATTACGCTCGTCATGCTGCCGTCTAATGTAGGCGGCTGGCTGCTATTCTAGTGACTTGCACTGATGTTATTTTATATTCTTAACTGACTCGTAGATCTATGTAGGTACATTAACACGGTGTAAGTAAGCAATGTAAATGCCTGTAACCCATTTTACAATACGTTAAGACCCTATCTTTTCTTTTGTTGCTAGCTTGTGCGGCCTCCCGCCGAACGTTCTGATTCATCCATGCTGTTATGTTTGCTTCCTGAGTTCTTGGGTTTGAAACTGTGGCCGCTTCGCGGCCTGATCACGGACGTAAAATGTAAAATGTGACAAATAAACAAACAAACTAACAAACAGATAAACAAGAGCATCGCAGGGAACCGCGTCGCGACATGCGTATGTACATCGACCGTCCACTCCCCCCATCTGGCTGCATAGGCGGCCGTAAAGAGGCAGCCTGCGGGTACAGTGCACGCGCGTTTACGTCAATGCCGAGCTCAGGGATTTTCAGTCTCAGCCTCCTTATTTTTAGTTTGTCTTGTTTTGACAGGTGCGCTTGCTCGACATCCTCATTTCCGATAGGTAGAAGCTGTTCCGGTATATGATTCATTCCGGCCTCAAGACTCGGCCTACTTACTGCTCTCACGGGGTATAAAGCTCAAGCAACCCCCAACTTGCCTTGGTGATTCGTTTTTATCAGAACATCAACATCTACCATAAATCCGCACTCTAGCACACTATAGCCGAACAGTAGGGATAAAGACTACCATCATGGAAGTGTCAACTGAAGACGACCTTCGCAGCCTACCGGTGGATAAGACCAGGGCGATTGGCTACATCGATTCGATATGTCCCCCTCCTTACCGAGTTGGAGAGATTGGCCAAGCTTCTCCATGACAAGGCCATATCGTACATGAGGAGACCGGACAGCACCTTGGCTATGACTCATCTTACGAACAATGATATCGCCATTGTACGTCTCCACGAGCTTTACCACGCATTCATCGGCCAGAGCTCCTCAGTTGTTATCCCTAAAGTTCTGACCGACTGGATCGAATCGCTTCACAACGGGATTCCAAATGTGAACGGTCAATCATGAGCTATTTCTTCAACTTCTTGTCGTAAAAGGTGCTTTAGAAGGAGTCATTCAACAAGTTCAGGACAAGATCGATATATTTTCCGACGTACTTGTAAGACTTGGTCGCTTCATGAATGGGGTAAGTAACAAAAACCTTTCCATATAATGCCAATGTCCATTTCAAATAAGCCCGTGTCGCTGGGTTGGCTGCGCTGGTTTTGGAACTCTTTTGGGCATCTCAAACTATTGTAGCAAGCCCAGCATTAATGCTGAGAAAGGGTTGCTTTTTGGGCGGTGCGGGTAATCGGAAGTTTTCTTGCGTGGTGGGGGATTGCTCAGGTTCCCTCTTGCATTGCAGTTTCAATCATGATCAAGACCACAGTTGCTCTGCCACTATTGCGAGGGCGAACGGTGCGGTGTGAAAGTTGTACAAATACCTGTTGTCCTTGTGACCACAAAAGTTTGATTCGTTCACCCCCCCCCTAAGGCGCAACAATTCCCTGCCACGGGTGTCTGATTAATTAGTTGTGATTATTGAAGTCACTGGCTCGTTCGTCTGATACGGACACAATCGCACTTTCTTACACTGTTGGGTCGGTGGACCACTGCGCTGTGTCATGTAACACACTTGAAATTGGCGACGGTCAGTGAAGCGAGGCTTCAATTGTTCTTGGCGCGCCAATTTTGTTTACAAACGTAGTGGTTGTTTACAACGTAGTGGTTGTCTGTTGTCTACAACGTAGTGGTTGTCTACAACGTAGTGGTTGTTTACAGTGGCTTATTTACGGTGAGAAAAAGTGCATGAAGAAACCTTCGGCCATTGGTTAGTTCGTTCGGTGGCGTCCAAAACCCTCCGCCATTGGATACATTAACGTTGTGACTGCCAGTCCTTTGCCCGAAAAAAAATAAACAAACGAAAACGCCCATTCGCAAAGCGCCAATCGAGCGTCGGCGAGAAAGCCCGAGGATACTAAGGATGAGGATACTTGTAAGGCACATTGAAGTCCCCCCATGGTTCAGAAACCAAGGTTTGTGTGTGTGATGCATGTGATGCAGCGCACAGGCTCCATCAACCTATGTATATATATATATATAGGTAGGCAACCCCCACAGCCAAATAGTTTGCATCTTCTCTTCTGCTCCCAACACCCGCTGCCCAACAACCCGTCACCCACGCTTGTGCATCCACATCATTGACAGATTTAGTTGTTCATCACCAATCGACATCACCACCAACCTGCGAGCCAACAGTCATGGCTCTCTCCAAAGAAGAGTTCATCCAACTCAAAGCCGGTCTGAACCTTGCCAACATAAACAAGTTCGGACCAGGAGACATAGCGCTCTTCCTCCAAACGCTCGTCAGCGCTCTCCTCCTCGGGGAAACCGGGAACCTATCCACCGTCCAGAAAGCCTTCGTCCGCTGCACACTGGTACAATACTTTGTCCATCTTTACTGCGCCTACCACAAAGTTCTAGTAGACAACGCCGAGGACACACACAGGCGCGCAATCCAGGCCATCACCCACCTGTACGACTGGAGCAGTGGCAGTATCGGGCGGCTCGGCCAGCGGCTCGAAAAGCTGAATGCCGACCTCGCAACCAAGATCGATTATTGCGAGGTGGGTCTCGAGAATGCGAGAACTCTCCAGCGCTGGCTGGCTGAGGTGGCCGGGCCCAAGCTTGGGAATGATGATGAGATTCACAGTGAGGGTAATGCGGAGAGCCTCGACAAGCTGGAGGCCGACCTGCAGGTTGTGTGGCAAGCGATAGACTTCGAGGATCATATTCCTGTAGGTCAACAGCAAAAGACGGCGGGGATTTTTGCGAAGCTGGCTGAGGTTATGCCGGTTTCACGGTGCATGGTGAGTGATAGGAGCACTTGTCTTACCTTCCCACCTTGTATTACCTCCCTACACACATGCGAAGCTGAATGAGGCCTTTTGGGCAGATGCTGATCATGATTTTTGACGCTTCTTGTGCTGCAGCATCGACTAGAGAGGTATGAAACACACACACTTCTCGACGAGTTTAACGCGCTGCCGAGCCACAAGTTCTGGACGATCCCGATCGACTTCTACTCGATCCATAGAAGGGCATATGACGTCTTGATCTACCCTGACACTGAGTGAAGTGGAGTTTCGACCAAGATTTATCGTTGGTTCGGGTGTGTGCTTCTGACAAAGAGAACTTGGGATAACCGATATGGGGCATGGAGTCAAGCTTGGGCACAGAGACTTGACGTCGCGCATACTACATTTCTTATGTTTGGGGCTGCTTACAGGTAGATTCGTATGTACCTTCCCAAGCTGGTAGCAGCCTCCTTTACTGGTATGTTCGTGACTGTGTGAGAGAGACAGGCCATTGCACTAAACCACGCCCCAACACCCAACACTCGACCCCCTGCTCCATCCCATCATCCCCACTCCCCAACCCTCAGTGCAACTGCCCAGGAAACGCCCCCTCCGCCCCCAGCGTGGCATAATACAGCTCCGTCTCGGCCAGGATCACCATCCTCCCCTTCCCCGCAAACTGAAAATTCGCCGACGTCGACCCGATATAAATCCTGCCCAGCAGCTTCCCAGCCGGACTGTACACCTCCACCCCATCGCCACACGCCACATACACATTCCCCTTGGTATCAAGATGGATGCCGTCCGGCACGCCGGCCGTCACAAACGCAAACACCTTTCGGTTCGCAAACGTCCCATCATCCTCGACATCGTAGCGGTACACGGTCGCGGGGAAAGTGTAGTTGTTGCCAAAGAAGCCCTGCGCCGTGCCGGTGTCGGCGATGTAGATGTGTTGGCCGTTGGGGGAGAATGCGAGGCCTGATTTTCAGGATGTCAGTATCATCGATGCATGCAGAAGAAACATAGGTTTGTGACATGGACTGACTGACTGACCGTTCGGCATGTTAAACCCATCCGCCACGACCCCCACCGCCCCTGTGCTCTCGTTGAACCGCCACACCTGCTTCTGCAGCCCGGGGGCTGGGCGGAAGTCCTGCACGTACCCGTACGTCGGGTCGGTGAAGTAGATGTCGCCGTTGCGCGGGTTGACGGACGCGTCGTTGATCGAGTTGAATTGGCGGCCGAAGAAGTTGTCCAGGAGGACTGTTTATGGGTCGTGAGATTGGTTAGAATAGTGGGCGGGTGGATTGCCAGGGGGTGTAAGTAAACAACAATAATTGGGTCCTAAAAATGCGGCATCACTCACCTGTGGTATTGTAGGGCGAATACGGATGCATCAGGTAGATCGCTGGCGCGACGGTATAGCCCTGACCCTCGCCGACGAGAAGGATGCGGTTTCGGTAGTTGGTCCCTCCTGGGAGAAAAGTTGTGAGCAGTATTCTGGAGACACTTTTCCTATTGATTAATTTTCAAGAGCGGCTCACCATTACAGTTAACTACCCCCGGGCTTGGGTTCACAAACTCCACCCTGATTGTTCCATTGGCGCTCCTCTGGCTCGAAATCTCCGTCGTGACATCAGCGAGGGCAATCTTCATGATGGCGGCAGACTTGTTCAGACCCGTGCCGGCGGCGCGGGCGCCAGCATTTTGGCAGAAGAACACCTCGTCGGTTGCTGGGTACCTGAATCGAAGGAGAGAAATTCTGTGTTAGCTGAGCGCAGCGAATTGCAGCTTTGGTGATCACTGCCAGTAGTGGCGGCAACATACCACACAGGAGCTTCATGGAAGCGAGGATTCGACTCGGTGCGGTTGAGGAGCGTCAGGGTTGGGTTCGGGCCGATGATGTCGTAGAATGCGTCATCGTAGATGTGAAAGGGCTTTGCCAGCAGAGAC